GGTTATCGTTACCATCTTTCTAAATTCCATATATATGCGTTAGTATACTCTATTGGTCTTTGTCTTTCTGGCTTACTTCACTCTGTATAATGGGCTCCAGTTTCATCCATCTCATTAGAACTGATTCAAATGAATTCTTTTTAATGGCTGAGTAATATTCCATGGTGTATATGTACCACAGCTTCCTTATCCATTCGTCTGCTGATGGGCATCTAGGTTGCTTCCATGTCCTGGCTATGATAAACAGTGCTGCGATGAACATTGGGGTACACATGTCTCTTTCAGATCTGGTTTCCTCAGTGTGTATGCCCAGAAGTGGGATTGCTGGGTCATATGGCAGTTCTATTTCCAGTTTTTTTAAGAAATCTCCACAGTGTTCTCCATAGTGGCTGTACTAGTTTGCATTCCCACCAGCAGTGAAAGAGGGTTCCCTTTTCTCCACACCCTCTCCAGCATGTATTGCTTGTAGACTTTTGGATAGCAGCCATCCTGACTGGCATGTAATGGTAATGTTGTGGTTTTGATGTGCATTTCTCTGATAATGAGTGATGTTGAGCATCTTTTCATGTGTTTGTTAGCCATCTGTATGTCTTCTTTGGAGAAATGTCTGTTTAGATCTTTGGCCCATTTTTTGATTGGGTCATTTATTTTTCTGGAGTTGAGCTGGAGGAGTTGCTTGTATATTTTTGAGATTAATCCTTTGTGTGTTGCTTCATTTGCTATTATTTTCTCCCATTCTGAAGGCTATCTTTTCACCTTGCTTATAGTTTCCTTTGTTGTGCAAAAGCTTTTAAGTTTCATTAGTTCCCATTTGTTTATTTTTGCTTTTATTTCCAGTATTCTGGGAGGTGGGTCATAGAGGATCTTGCTGTGATTTATGTCAGAAAGTGTTTTGCCTATGTTCTCCTCTAGGAATTTTATAGTCTCTGGTCTTACATTTAGATCTTTAATCCATTTTGAGTTTATTTTTGTGTATGGTGTTAGAAAGTGTTCTAGTTTCATTCTTTTACAAGTGGTTGACCAGTTTTCCCAGCACCACTTGTTAAAGAGGTTGTCTTTTTTCCATTGTATATCCTTGCCTCCTTTGTCAAAGATAAGGTGTATGTGGATTTATCCCTGGGCTTTCTATTCTGTTCCATTGATCTATATTTCTGTCTTTGTGCCAGTACCATACTGTCTTTATGACTGTGGCTTTGTAGTAGAGCCTGAAGTCAGGCAGGTTGATTCCTCCAATTCCATTCTTATTTCTCAAGATTGCTTTGGCTATTCAGGTTTTTTGTATTTCCATAAAAATTGTGAAATTATTTGTTCTAGTTCTGTGAAGAATACTGTTGGTAGCTTGATGGGGATTGCATTGAATCTATAGATTGCTTTGGGTAGTATACTCATTTTCACAATATTGATTCTTCCAATCCAACCACATTTTTTTAAAATTGTCTTCATTCCTACTTATATTTCCATGCTTCTCTTTGGAATCATTTTCCTTCTGACTGAAGAATTCCTCTCAGCATTTATTTAAATACAGCTTGCAGGTGATATATTCTCTATTTTTATTTGTTTAAAAACATCTTTATTTCACTTTTACTTTTAAAAGGATATTTTCAGTTGGATGCAGGTTTATTTTTTTAAAGTCTGAAACTACTGTTTTATTGCTTTCATTGTTTGTATTAAGAATCAGACTAATGTCTTCTGATTGTTCATTCAAAGATACTGTATCTTTTTACTGTGAGTGCTTTTAAGATTTTCATTTTGATTTTCAACTGTTTGCATGTGATGTGCCAAGGAGTGGTTCTCTTTGTTTTATACTGCTTTGAGGTTACAAAGCTTCTTGAGTCTGTTTATTGATATCTTTCATTAGTTTTGGAAAACCATCTGCCATATTTCTTCAAATATATTTTCTTCCTCATTATTTCCTTTTTTCCATGATTCTTACTTCATATATATTAACATTTCTGACTGTGACCAACAAGTTTCTTATACTGCATTTTTTTACTCATATACATATTTATTTTTGATTCTGTGTTTCAGTTTGGACCTGTCACTCCATTTACTCTTTTACTATGTCTTGTGTGCTATTAAACCTATCAGTTGGGTTCATTGAGCTCTTGTGGGGTTTCCAACCCAACTAGCCATACTGTGATTCAGTTCTAATGCTAATAATCAGACTTAACATCAGATTCTTAAGGGCTTAGTCCTCCTCAAGATTGACCTTACCTCAGATGTTAATGGCCACAGTTCAGCTGGTCCCCAGGTCCCCCTCACTTCCAATCAACTGGCTGCAAATTCAGGAATTCCCATGACCCCCTCAGAGTCAGTAGCTCACTAGAATGAAAACCACTATACTTAAAATCACAGTTTTATTGTAAAGGTTACAGATCAGGAAGAGCCAAATGAAGAGACACATAAAGAAAGGTCTGAGAAAAAACATGGAGCTTCTGTGCGCTCTCCTTGTGGAATCTGGGCATGCCACTCTTCTGGCACATTGTTGTATTTTAAATCCTGGCTTGCTGACTCCAGTGTCTGTATTACCCATTGGTCTGTTTCCATTGGTACAATTTATGGTAGTAATAAATATGACCATTTAAGAGGTTGTATCAATGAACATTTTAATCTGAAAGGGAGATAGTGACCCATGGTGCTCTCTACTAGATAGTAAAATGTAGTCAAAGTATATCAACTCATTCAAAATTTAGCACTGAGAAATAAAATATAATAAATGGGACGTTTAAACTTATTTGTATTCTCTTGGTGGTATTTACTTCATAAAGCAAGAAAGTACACCATATCAGGGTTATATGAATCCTTAAAAATCATTATCAGTGTCTCCTAAGAAAGGAGAAGGCACAATTGGAATGACTTTTGTTGTGCATGCATGCTCAGTCATGTCCAACTCTTTGCCACCCTCCTCTGTACATGAGATTTTCCAGGCAAGGATACTGCAGTGGATTGCCATTTCCTCCTCCAGGGAATCTTCCTGACCCAGGGGTTGAACCCATGTCTCCAGCATTGGCAGGCGATTCTTTATCACTGAGCCACTGAAGAAGACCATAGGAAAGACTACAATATTAATCATAATACTGTTATATCAATGAGGGCATGGCATGCTATACAATCTATATGACTTTTATCTAAGGTCAATAAATTGATGAAGAGTACAGCTTATTGCCTCTGACATAATTTTTATAATATTCAGCTACTATCCACCATATTTAATATTATCTTAACTGTCTGTTCCCTTTCTTTCCTCAGGCATCCTTTTATATTTCTTATGCTTTAATTTTTCATCCCTTTTTTTTTCAGTTTCCTCAGTTGATACCCATAGACATTGATACCTCTACCTCTGTCATTTAGGCCCTCACCTTTAAGACACTTAAGGCATACAAGTGAATGATTGTATGTTCCGGTAAAAATTTCCTAAGCCACTTAAAAAAATTCTATACAATATAATGATGCTGTCAGAATTTGGAAAACTAGTTCTAATTTGTTTCAGATGAAAAAAATCACTTTTTAACACCATGTATTTTAAAGTATATGCTGCTGTGTGTGCTCAGTTGTTCAGTCATGTCTGACTCTTTGCAACTCCATGGACTGTAGCCTGCCGAGCTCCTCTGTCCATGGAATTTTCCAAGCAAAAATACTAGAGTGGGTTGCCGTTTCCTACTCCAGGGTATCTTCTCGACCCAGGGATCAAACCTGCAACTCCTGCATTGGCAGGCAGATTCTTTACCACTGTGCCACCTGGGAAGACCCTATTTAAAAGTATATACATACTGTTTAATGATCTCAAAATACATGTAATTTAACTATTTTTATTTATTTAAATATCTCTCAGAGTTGATGTTACCAGTTTATTAATTTTTAGAAATAAACCATTTTTCAATACTCAGAAAAAAGTTTTAATTACAACTATAAAACGTGTTTTTATTTCCTGGAGTTCTTTAAATGAAATTAATGCAGTCTTCCTTCACAAAAGCTTGTTCTTTGCATTCACTAAGAACTCATTCATAAATAAAGAATACTACTATTGTAACAGACATTTCTATTGCTGAAGTAAGTTGAGCAGTATTATGTGGTATTCTACAACATGGCACTTCTGTTTTGCTTTATGCTTTTAGTTTTGGAACTACAACAGCATAAAATACTCATCATAAAAATACACTGAAAGTTTTTAAGAAGGAGGTATTTGTTATAAGTGCAAGTTTCTCTCGTCAGCTTCAAAATAAGATGCTTCCTTTTCACTTATTTTTCTTTCAGTGAACAATTATTGAGTGGCTATTCTGTGGAGATACAAAAATAGATAAAGTCTATGTTTTTGTAGAGCTAATAGAATCTGGTAGAGGAGATAAACTGAAAGGGCAGTAATTTTAATAAAATGTGGTGAGTGGTATGATAACATTTATTCTTAGTGCTATGAGAGCATATATAAGGATTAGTGAACCTTGAGTAGAGAGCAAGGATGGCTTCTTATAGAAAATAATGCTACGAGCTAAATTTTGAAGGCTGAATAAGAGTTAACCAGGCAAAGGAAAGGGGGAATAAGGTTTTTCTGGCTGAAAGAAAAATGTGACGTTTTGAAGCATCATGAGGCTTACAGAAAACTCTGAAATGAGGTTAGAGAGTTAGGCCAGATTGTTTTCCAGAATATTTGAACAAAGCAAGCATGAAAAGAGGCCACTGAATAATTTAATTTATATTGTAGAGAATGAAATACATGTATATCCATCTTTAGTGTCAACTAATTTAATAAAAGTTGAATAGTTTCTTTTGTGTAATACTCCTTAAAAAAACATATAACTCTTTCAGTATTTGAATTATGTTAGTATGGATATTTGTTCATAATTTGAATGTGTTTTCCTTACGTTTCTAATGCATTATTTTCAAGAAACTAAACCTATAAATTTTTTAATCATATTGGATTAGAATAAATTCCAAATGGAACCAGTTTTCCCATTCAAGTCTGTTTTTATAACTGTTTGTTATCTTTTTTTAATCTTTTGTAGAATTCCTGTACCTCAGCCAGAAACTTCTTCACAAATAAAAGGAAGGACACCAAGCATGCCAAGCTCCTCCCACTGTATGTTGCTTTGATGATGATGATGATTTTATGGAGACTTTGTGGAACACTATTATTATATACATATTGCTATTTGATTTGATTCTGCATTTTTGGGTTGTGCCTGCCACTAGCTAATATAAGTACTTTAAATAGATAAGTAGCTAGTTATTTTTGTTTCTATTTTTATTTGTATTACCTTAAATCCTTGTCAAAAATACTAGTCCCAAATTGTTCTGAATTTTGGACCAGTACATCACTTAATTCCCCAAGAAAAAGAAATGCAAAAAAGCAAAATGGCTGTCTGAGGAGGCCTTACAAATAGCTGTGAAAAGAAGAGAAGTGAAAAGCAAAGGAGAAAAGGAAAGATATACCCATTTGAATGCAGAGTTCCAAAGAATAGCAAGGAGAGATAAGAAAGTGTTTCTAAGCAATCAATGTAAAGAAATGGAGGAAAACAATAGAATGGGAAAGACTAGAGATCTCTTCAAGAAAATCAGAGATACCAAGGGAACATTTCATGTGAAGATGGGCTTAATAAAGGACAGAAATGGTATGCACCTAACAGAACCAGAAGATATTAAGAAGAGGTGGCAAGATATGACCCAGCAATACCACTTCTGGACATACACACAGAGGAAACCAGATCTGAAAGAGACACGTGCACCCCAATGTTCATCGCAGCACTGTTTATCGTAGCCAGGACATGGAAGCAACCTAGATGCCCATCAGCAGACGAATGGATAAGGAAGCTATGGTACATGTACACCATGGAATATTACTCAGCCGTTAAAAAGAATTCATTTGAATCAGTTCTAATGAGATGGATGAAACTGGAGCCCATTATACAGAGTGAAGTAAGCCAGAAAGATAACATTACAGCATACTTACACATATATATGGAATTTAGAAAGATGGTAACGATAACCCTATATGCAAAACAGAAAAAGAGACACAGATGTACAGAACAGACTTTTGGACTCTGTGGGAGAAGGCGAGGGTGGGATGTTTCGAGAGAACAGCATCGAAACATGTATATTAGCTATAGTGAAACAGATCCCCAGCCCAGGTTGGATGCATGAGACAAGTGCTCGGACCTGGTGCACTGGGAAGACCCAGAGGAATCGAGTGGAGAGGGAGGTGGGAGTGGGGGATAGGGATGGGGAATATATGTAACTCCATGGCTGATTCATTAAAAAAAAAAAAAAGAGGTGGCAAGAATACACAGGAACTCTACAAAAAAGGTGTTAATGACCCAGATAATCACGAATGTGTGATCACTCACACTCACCTAGAGCTGGACATCCTGGAATGTGAAGTCAAGTGGGCCATCACTACGAACAAAGCTAGTGAAGGTGATGGAATTCCAGTTGAGCTACTTCAAATCCTAAAAGATGATGCTATGAAAGTACTGCACTCAATATGTCAGCAAATTTGGAGAACTCAGCAGTGGCCACAGGACTGGAAAAGGTCAGTTCTCATTCCAATCCCTAAGAAAGGCAATGCCAAAGAATGCTCAAACTACCACACAGTTGCACTCATCTCACACGCTAGTAAAGTAATGCTCAAAATTCTCCAAGCCAGGCTTCAGCAATATGTGAACTGTGAACTTCCAGATGTTCAAGCTGGTTTTAGAAAAGGCAGAGGAAGCAGAGATCAAATTTCCCACACCCAATACATCATCAAAAAGGCAAGAGAGTTCCAGAAAACCATCTATTTCCACTTTATTGACTATGCCAAAGCCTTTGACTGTGTAGATCACAATAAATTGTGGAAAATTCTGAAAGAGATGGGAATACCAGACCACCTGACCTTGAGAAACCTCTATACAGGTCAGGAAGCAACAGTTAGAACTGGACATGGAACAACAGACTGGTTCCAAATAGGAAAAGGAGTATGTCAAGGCTGTATATTGTCACCCTGCTTATTTAACTTCTATGCAGAGTACATCGTGAGAAACGCTGGGCTGGAACAAGTACAAATGGGGATCAAGATTGCCGGGAGAAATATCAATAACCTCAGATATGCAGATGACACCATCCTGATGGCAGAAAGTGAAGAAGGACTAAAGAGCCTCTTGATGAAAGTGAAAGAGGAGAGTGAAAAAGTTGGCTTAAAGCTCAACATTCAGAAAACTAAGATCATGGCATCTGGTCCCATCACTTCATGGCAAATAGATGGGGAAACAGTGGCTGACTTTATTTTTCTGGGCTCCAAAATCACTGCAGATGGTGATTGCAGCCATTTAATTAAAAGATGCTTACTCCTTGGAAGGAAAGTTATGACCAACCTAGACAGCATATTAACAAGCAGAGACATTACTTTGTCAACAAAGGTCTGACTAGTCAAGGCTATGGTTTTTCCAGTGGTCACGTATGGATGTGAGAGTTGGACTATAAAAAAAGCTGAGTGCTGAAGAATTGATGCTTTTGAACTGTGGTGTTGGAGAAGACTCTTGAGAGTCCCTTGGACTGCAAGGAGATCCAACCAGTCCATCCTAAAGGAGATCAGTCCTGGGTGTTCATTGGTAGGACTGATGTTGAAGCTGAAACTCCAATACTTTGGCCACCTGATGCAAAGAGCTGGCTCATTTGAAAAGACCCTGATGCTGGGAAAGATTGAGGGCAGGAGGAGAAGGGGACGACAGAGGATGAGATGGTTGGATGGCATCACCAACAAAATGGACATGGGTTTGGGTGGACTCCGGGAGTTGGTGATGGACAGGGAGGCCTGGTGTGCTGCGGTTCATGGGGTCACAAAGAGTCGGACGCAACTGAACTGAACAACACTTAATAAATTGGTTCTTTGGTAGTACATTCCTTCAGATGTACTATTTTTAATTAACAGAAGAATGAAGTAGGAAGTTTAATTTTTTTTTTTTACAATAACCGTAGTTAAAGATAGTTGTAGTTCCAGTTTTCAGGTTCATCTCTGAAGTGATATCATGACACAAATTTAGTTATGGCAGGGTATCCTTAAAGTGAGTTTGTTTAAAGCAGATCTTATAAGGGGTCATCTCTGTAGACATTTCAATACTTTAGATCCTTCTTGTTTTATGAATTATTCTTATTTGAGAATTGACTTCTAGTCAGTCTGACAGATTAAGAACCCACAAAGGGATTTGGATTGTACTCCCCCCCCAAATAAAAGATAGAAAATAAGGGGGAAATCATTATAGTATAAATATATAACCAAGCTGAAAGCAAGAATTAAAAATCCCTAAGTGGCATAAACAAAAAAGATTAAATTTAGTGGCAAGTAGGAACTAAAACTAAAAGCTCATGGACATTTAAGAACTAGAGGCCTAAATGATCATAGACTGAGGTGTAATAACTACTTAGAAAGCAGAATCCAGAGCACAGGCCTCTTGCATTTGAAGTAGAACCAATATAAACTTGAAAGGTTATTAAGGGTCGGATTAATTATTGCCATCAACATGGGAAAATATCAAGGAGCTTCCTGTATTCCCTGGACAATGAGTAGGAAAAATTGCATTGACTTAGTACCCACTGACTTGAATTAGAAAACCGTTGTTAAATATCAAATTCTTTTTCATTGGTCTATATGTATGTCCCTATGCCAGTATACAGTATTTTGATTACTGTAACTTTGTATCAGCTTTTGAAATTGGGATGTATGAGCCCTCCAACTTTGTTCCTGTTGTTCAAGATTGCTTTAGCGTTGAGGACTCTGGTGATTCCATATGAATTTAAGGATCCATTTGACCATTTCTGCAAAATAAGCTTTTGGGATTTTGATATGGATTGCATTGAGTCTGCAGGTAGTTTTGGATAGTATTGACGTCTTAATAATATTAACTCTTCTAGTCCACGAACATGGGATTTCTTTCCGTTCATTTTTAGGTATTCTTTATTTCAACAATGTTTTGTAGTTTTCAGTATAGAAGTCTTTCACCTCCTTGCTTAAATTTTATTCCTAGGTATTTTCTTCTTTTAGTTGCTATTTTAAATGGAATAGCCTTTTAAATTTTCTTTTGAATCTCTTTACTTTCTATAGGTCTGTGGAGATTTTTTTTTTCTTTTGAATGAGTTTTGGTAATTTTTTTTTGTTTTTATGAATTTGTTTCATCTCAGTTTTCTAATTTATGGTGTGTGATTGTTCATAGTATTCTATTTTAATCCTTTTTATCTCTGTAATGAATCACATTTTATTTCTGAATTTAGTTATTTATGTCTTCACTCCTTGGGTCAGTAGAGGTGAAGATTATCAATTTTGTTGGTCTTTACATAGGACAAGCTTTTGGTTTCTTAGATTCTATTATGTTTTTTATTCTCTTTCATTTATGTTTACTTTAAGCATAATGACTTCTGTCACTTCTAGTTCCTTTAAGTTTAATGTTACATTATTGAATGAGATCTTTCTTTTTTAATATCAGTATTTATGTTGTAAATTTCCCTCTGGTCACTACTTTCACTGAATCCTATAAGTTTTTATGTTGTATTTTCATTTTTGTTCATGTACTGTAATACTGTACCTCGGGGTTGGTTGGTTGGTTGTTTTTTAACTTGTGTGAACAGAGGCAACTCAGTCACTCTATATGTCAACCTACTCATCTCTGAAATTGACAGCGGGCTTCCCAGATGGCTCAGTGGTAAAGATGCAGCTGCCAGTGCAGGAGATGCGGATTCAATCCCTGGGTCAAGAAGATCCCCTGGAGGAGGAAATGGCAACCCACTCCAGTATTCTTGCCTGGGAAATTCCATGGACAGAGGAGCCTGATTGGCTACAGTCCATGGGGTTGCAAAGAGTTGGATGTGACTGAGCGACTGGCATGCACTCAAATGGGATGATAGCATCCCTTTATTTACTTCATAAAATTGGCCTAAGACTTTTAAACAGATGTTCGAAAGGTCTTTTTAAACTGTAAATGTTTCTCAAAGTTGTCAAATTTGTATAGCATCCCTCTACAGGAAAAAATCTGGAAACTAAAAATAATCAGTTAATTCTTAACAGATTATGTGAGTATAAACCCTTGGATGTGTTACCACATGAAAGATTTG